CAGCTAAAGGTGGCACATCCAGTTATTGAGTGTAAGGGGGCAATTACTTTTTCACACAGGGGAATTGGGTGTTGCATAACTTTGTTTATTAAATAAATATGTAATTGTTGTGTTATTTGTCCACTTATGTTCCCTTTATCTAATATTAGGTTTTGGTTGAAGATCTGATAACATTAAGTATCACAAATATGCAAAAGTAGAGAAAATTAGAAAGGGGGCAAATACTTTTTCATAGCACTGTACACCTTAGCCAAATACAATTACACTCAGTTTTGCACAATTCCTGACAATTAATCCTAGTAGAAATTCCCTGTCTTATGTCAGTTAGGATCACCACTTTATTTTAAGAATGTGAAATGTCAGAATAATAGTAGAGAAAATGATTTATTTCAGCTTTTATTTATTTCATCACATTCCCAGTGGGTCAGAAGTTTACATACACTCAATTAGTATTTGGTAACATTGCCTTTAAATTGTTTAACTTGGGTCAAACGTTTCGGGTAGCCTTCCACAAGCTTCCCACAATAAGTTGGGTGAATTTCTGCCCATTCCTCTTGACAGAGCTGGTGTAACTGAGTCAGGTTTGTAGGCCTCCTTGCTCGCACACTCTTTTTCAGTTCTGCCCACACATTTTCTATATGACTGAGGACAGGGCTTTGTGATGGCCACTCCAATACCTTGACTTTGTTGTCCTTAAGCCATTTTGCAACAACTTTGGAAGTATGCTTGGGGTCATTGTTCATTTGGAAGACCCATTTGCGACCACGCTTTAACTTTCTGACTGATGTCTTGAGATGTTGCTTCAATATATCCACATCATTTTCCTTCCTCATAATGCTATCTATTTTCTGAAGTGCACCAGTCCCTCCTGCAGCAAAGCACCTGGTTGGGATGGTGTTCTTCGGCTTGCAAGCGTTACCCCTTTTTCCTCCAAACATAACAATGGTCATTATGGCCAAACAGTTCTATTGTTGTTTCATCAGACCAGAGGACATTTCTCCAAAAAGTACGATCTTTGTCCCGATGTGCAGTTGAAAACCGTAGTCTGGCTTTTTTATGGCGGTTTTGGAGCAGTGGCTTCTTCCTTGCTGAGCGGCCTTTCAGGTTATATCGATATAGGACTCGTTTTACTGTGGATATAGATACTTTTGTACCTGTTTCCTCCAGCATCTTCACAAGGTCCTTTGCTGTTGTTCTGGGATCTATTTGCACTTTTCGCACCAAGTACGTTCATCTCTAGAAGACTGAGCGCGTCTCCTTCCTGAGCGGTATGACGGCTGCGTGGTCCCATGGTGTTTAAACTTGCGTACTATTGTTTGTACAGATGAACGTGGTACCTTCAGGCATTTGGAAATTGCTCCCAAGTATGAACCAGACTTGTGGAGGTCTACAATTGTTTTTCTGAGGTCTTGGCTGATTTCTTTTGATTTTCATATGATGTCAAGCAAAGAGGCACTGAGTTTGAACGTAGGCCTTGAAATACATCCACAGGTACACCTCCAATTGACTCAAATGATGTCAATTAGCCTATCAGAAGCTTCTAAAGCCATGACATCATTTTCTGGAATTGTCCAAGCTGTTTAAAGGCACAGTCAACTTAGTGTATGTAAACTTCTGACCCACTGGAATTGTGATACAGTGAATTATAAGTGAAATAATCTGTCTGTAAACAATTGTTGTGTCACGCCCTGGCCTTGAGAGGCCGGTTGTCTTTAGTTGGTTTGGTCAGGGCGTGAGGATCTATGTTAGTATTTCTATGTTTAGGGTCTAGTTGTGTATTTCTAGGTTTGGCCGGGTGTGATTCCCAATCAGAGGCAGCTGTCGCTCGTTGTCTCTGATTGGGGATCATACTTAAGTAGCCTGTTTGCTTACCTTAGTTGTGGGATCTTGTTCTGTGTTAGGCTTGTATGTGTTTAGCCTGATGACTTCACATTACGTTGTTTCTTGTTTTGTTTATGTTTATTGAGTTTAATCAACATGTTCGTATACCATGCTGCACCTTGGTCTGACCCTTCTCTCAATGATCGTGACAGAAGATCCCACCAAAAACGGACCAAGCAGCGTGCCCAGGAGCAGCAGACACCCTGGACACAGGTGGGGAAGTCATTTTGGACTTGGGAGGAGATATTGGTCGGTAGAGGACCCTGGGCGAAGGAGGAAGCCCAGGCAGGAGAGGAGAAACGGCGACCCAAAAAACCGTGCAGGCTCCGTGTTATGCGGAGCTACGCACTGTGCCGTGCGAAAATGGGCATCCAGCCAGGACGGGTTGTGCCGGCTCAACGCTCCTGGTCTCCAGTACGCCTCCTCGGTCCAGAATATCCTGCGCCGGTTCTACGTACTGTATCGCCAGTGCGCGTGCACAGCCCAGTGCGTCCTGTGCTAACGGGGGGGGGGGGGGGATCTATGTTGTCTATGTTGTCTTTAGTTGGTTTGGTCAGGGCGTGAGGATCTATGTTAGTATTTCTATGTTTAGGATCTAGATGTGTATTTCTAGGTTTGGCTGGGTGTGATTCCCAATCAGAGGCAGCTGTCGCTCGTTGTCTCTGATTGGGGATCATACTTAAGTAGCCTGTTTGCCTAACTTAGTTGTGGGATCTTGTTCCGTGTTAGGCTTGTATGTGTTTAGCCTGAGGACTTCACGTTACGTAGTTTCTTGTTTTGTTTATTATGTGTAATAAACATGTTCGCATATCACGCTGCACCTTGGTCTGACCCGTCTCTCAACGATCGTGACATGTTGGAAAAATTACTTGTCTCTTGCACAAAGTAGATGTCCTAACCGACTTGCCAAAACTATAGTTTGTTAACAAGAAATTTGTGGAGTGGTTGAACAAAAAGTTTTAATGACTCCAACCTAAGTGTATGTAAACTTCCGACTTCAACTGTATATATTTTACAGTAAGAATATAATGGAATGTAACAGAAGAAAATATAAAGTATATTTTCCCCAAATGGCTATTGCTGATTGTCACCAGTAGCCTACTCACATGAGGAATGCACAGAGCCACGGTTATTCTAGGGAAAATGCAATTTGTAGAGTTTTTTTTTTTTATTGCAAGATAGGTTAATTAGAAACCTTGGAATCTGCTCTTTCTGATAGGGTATAGCAATCAAAATGTCTGGCCTGCATGGACCTCTGTAGGATGATATGGAAGAAGCGCTATTTGGTAAGCTCCTCGCTTCTTTGTCAATGCACGCTGTCAATGCCAGCTGCACAGGTCATCAGTCTCTTTATTCTCTTTGACAATTTATAATATTGTCACCCATCAGACTATTGTCAGTTTAATCTTGTCTTTAGGCCACATCTATTATTATTATTATTAGTATATGTGAAATTAGTTTAAATATAGTTTAGGTGTAGTTTGGACGTGCCAGCTGGGCAGGCAACTGTTGTCTTACAGTCCGGAAATACACTATCATCTAATTTTAGTATTTACAGTCTATGCGCTTCTGGATCAATCAATACATTTTCTGACTGATTACAATTTACATTTGGTGTCCTAAGGTTTCTAATGATCTATTCTAACATAAATGCATTCATTTAGCAATGTATTATTTATTATGGAATATTTATTCAACTAAAAAATATCAACGGTTAGAATGAATTTCATGGTCATTCAAGTATGTATGGAATTCCGGCACTCTGAGTGTTAATATAACTTGTTTTCTCAAAATGTATGTTAGCTAGCTAAGTTAGCAATGTTATGTTAACTCCCATCTGCTGTCAACATCAGGATACAATTTGAGAGCACTAGTTAGCTCCAAAAGTGGTTATAGCTTTGACTGCATGCTGACAGTGAATTCAGAGCCATTCAGAGCTAGCTACACTACAAACATAATTGTACCGTGTTCCCGTGAAGCAATTGTAATGACAGTCCACCACAACATACCCAAGAGTTACCTAATTAGCAAGGGGTAGTCTGTGTTTAATTTCATTGTGTAGAAACACAGTTTGAGATCATTTTGAAGGGATTTTGCCAGTGGTTGAATGGGGGAATTGGGCTTCCCGGGAAAATGTTGTCTGAGGTTGCAACAGTAACCAATTAAATGGGTCAATTGCCCCTCCCTGTTGCTCACAACAAGTTTCCATTCCCCCTGTCACAAGTGGAGTTATAGCTGATTTAAGATGAAATCGTCAACCCTGTTACAGTCAACGCTGTCATTTTAATTGTCACCTTTTATAGTCTGTATTTTATTTATTTTTGTTTTCCTCTGGAGATGGGGAAACATGTTTGTTATGAAGTTGAACATGCTCTTTATGACAGAATGTTAAAATTTGGTTAAATAAATAGATTTTGTTTACAAATTTACGCTATCCAAAAGGCACTCTATTCAGGGAATGACACAGATACCAAATGGGGAAAACTTGACTTGGGATTACGCATAAGTGTGAATATACAGTTCAGTAGCTTATGTTGCTCTGTGTGTGTGGGATGTGTTGTTGTGAAGGGGTTAAATAATGACCCTGTGCATAGCCATCCTCTCGGGTAGGAGATAATCACTGTCTTTCTTCACTTTTCAGGCACTTCAGCCATCATTTTCCTATATCTATTTTCATCCATACCGTAAGAGTAATAATGGGCTCTGCTTAGCCTTTCATCATCAGGATGGCAGCGCTTGTTTAACTCACTTCAAAACCAATTAATTTGAAAGAGTCACCCTTTTCCAGCCCACAGTCTTCGGTTAAAGGACTGTTATTCATCTTCTCTTATGGCCAGTTTGCTTTAACTTCCAGGCAGTATCATATACACTGGGTACAGTATAGGGGTATATTACACAATAATGTCTCTACATTGTAATGTTTCACATTTAAAACATTAATTGAACAGCTCCTCTACCAGAAATCTGACATTTTCACAACTGAGTCCAATTTAATGAACTCCATTTAATTTCATCCTATCACTAATGTTTGAATGAGAATTCACTCTAGCATGCTACCCACCCCAGTGCTTTCAGTAAATCCCCAGAACTATAAAACTCCTCTATCTGTGTTTGTTAGGATCCTGGAACTGCAGGAGAAAGGGGACCTGGACATCCTGAAGCAGAAGTGGTGGCCCAGGAAGGGTCGCTGTGACCTGGACAGCCACTCGGAGGCCCAGCCAGAGGGCAGGTCCCTGAGGCTCCAAAGCTTCGCTGGGGTCTTCTGCATCCTGGCAGCAGGGCTGATGCTGGCCTGCCTGGTGGCCGCCCTGGAGACCTGGTGGAACAGCAACCGCTGCCGGCGTGAGCAGCCCAAAGAGGTGACCGAGAACGCAGCCCCGATCCAGGGCCTGGTCGCACCGCAGCCCCTCCCCAGGCCCCGGCCAAGACCCAGACCCCCGGGCCCCCCGGTCTTGCCCAGAGATGCCACTGCCACACTCTACTTTATGGATCCAGGCGCAGACGCCAGCCCTGATTTAGTAGAGCTGCAGTACACCCAGTTATAGGTGTGCCCTGACGATAGTCCAAATTGATGTGATTGTTCAATTTTGTTTTTGAGTGGGAGAGAAGTTGGGTTGGGTGGTTTGTTTAAAGCTCTTTTTCTCTCTAGTTTTTTTTTTGTATTTCAAAAGAGCCTTTGAAAGATTATTCAGATGCTAAAACATGCAATTAATTGCTTGTTTTTGCTTGTTTCTTCTGAAAAGTGAGTCATTATCATGGATGGCAATAATGATAACTGCAAAAATATGAATAATGACTACAATTTTGTTGGTCCATTCATTCAACAACATTTCACTTCTGGGTAGATATTTGCTGCCTCAGTCAGCGCAAACGCTTTCTTTAGCTCATCCATTCAAGTCTTACTGCTTCCAAACAGCTTAATCACAACTTCATCCTGATAGAGACTGAGCTGCCCCTGGTTGTGTCCAGACATAGAAGGCTTGACATGGATCCCTAAACTAAAGTGTGAGCAAACAAGACGCTAGCATTGACCTGTCTGTTTGATTGGACAAATAAGACCCACAGAAAATAAAGGACTTAATGTAAAGCTGTTGTCATGATGGCTATATATGATTAATGGAGCATTAGATTATAGTGATGATTTATTAAACATTACCCATTTAATGTCCTGTAGTGTAAATACTCTATCATAAATGTGTCTTTGGATGTCATAACCTATCACGTTCTTCAATGACAGGTGTTATTCCACAATATAATATACAGTATCTCACAAAAGTGAGTACACCCCTCACATTTTTGTAAATATTTGAGTATATCTTTACATGAAGAAATGACACTTTGCTACCATGTAGAGTAGTGAATGTACAGCTTGTATAACAGTGTAAATTTGCTGTCCCCTCAATATAACTCAACACACAGCCATTAATGTCTAAACCGCTGGCAACAAAAGTGAGTACACACCTAAGTGAAAATGTCCAAATTGGGCCCAATTAGCCATTTTCACTCCCCGGTGTCATGTGACTCGTTAGTGTTACAAGGTCTCAGGTGTGAATGGGGAGCAGGTGTGTTAAATTTGGTGTCATCGCTCTCACACTCCCTCATACTGGTCACTGGAAGTTCAACATGGCACCTCATGGCAAAGAACTCTCTGAGGATCTGAAAAAAAGAATTGTTGCTCTACATAAAGATGGCCTGGGCTATAAGAAGATTGCCAAGACCCTGAAACTGAGCTGCAGCGCGGTGGCCAAGACCATACAACGGTTTAACAGGACAGGTTCCACTCAGAACAGGCCTCTCCTTGGTCGACCAAAAAAGTTGAGTGAACGTGCTCAACGTCATATCCAGAGGTTGTCTTTGAGAAATAGACGTATGAGTGCTGCCAGCATTGCTGCAGCGGTTGAAGGGGTGGGGGGTCAGCCTGTCAGTGCTCAGACCATACGCCGCACATTGCATCAAATTGGTCTGCATGGCTGTCGTCCCAGAAGGAAGCCTCTTCTAAAGATGATGCACAAGAAAGCCCGCAAACAGTTTGCTGAAGACAAGCAGACTAAGGACATGGATTACTGGAACCATGTCCTGTGGTCTGATGAGACCAAGATAAACTTATTTGGTTCAGATGGTGTCAAGCATGTGTGGCGGCAACCAGGTGAGGAGTACAAAGACAAGTGTGTCTTGCCTACAGTCAAACATGGTGGTGGGAGTGTCATGGTCTGGGGCTGCATGAGTGCTGCCGGCACTGGGGAGCTACAGTTCATTGAGGGAACCATGAATGCCAACATGAACTGTGACATACTGAAGCAGAGCATGATCCCCTCCCTTCGGAGACTGGGCCGCAGGGCAGTATTCCAACATGATAACGACCCCAAACACACCTCCAAGATGACCACTGCCTTGCTAAAGAAGCTGAGGGTAAAGGTGATGGACTGGCCAAGCATGTCTCCAGACCTAAACCCTATTGAGTATCTGTGGGGCATCCTCAAACGGAAGGTGGAGGAGAGCAAGGTCTCTAACATCCACCAGCTCCGTGATGTCGTCATGGAGGAGTGGAAGAGGACTCCAGTGGCAACCTGTGAAGCTCTGGTGAACTCCATGCCCAAGAGGGTTAAGGCAGTGCTGGAAAATGATGGTGGCCACACAAAATATTGACACTTTGGGCCCAATTTGGACATTTTCACTTAGGGGTGTACTCACTTTTGTTGCCAGCGGTTTAGACATTAATGGCTATGTGTTGAGTTATTTTGAGGGGACAGCAAATTTACACTGTTATACAAGCTGTACATTCACTACTCTACATTGTAGCAAAGTGTCATTTCTTCAGTGTTGTCACATGTAAAGATATACTCAAATATTTGCAAAAATGTGAGGGGTGTACTCACTTATGTGAGATACTGTATGTAATTTAACAGATACTTTTATCCAATGCGACTTAGTCATGTGTGCATCCATTTTATGTATGGGTGATCCTGGGAATTGAACCACTACCCTGGTGTTACAAGCGCCATGCTCTACCAACTGAGCTACAAAGACCACTTATGACAGCTACAGCGTATGTAGGCAATATGACAACAATTTCCAGTAAATTGTACCCAGTCCAAATACTCCCTAGTAATTCTACTGAGTGACGTCTTATTACAATTATATGTCAATGTCCAGATACACAGCCATGCTGGTTATTTATGTACTGTATGATTGTCTGTGATCCTATGCAGGTCACTAAGGACTACAGTCTGGAAAGGGTTTCTGGTACATTGACATATAATGACATTACAAGTGCTTCACCAGAAGGCAGGAGTGACATGTGGACGGAAAGAGAGAGAGACTGGGAGGAGGCAGAGACTATTGACACAGGTCAGGAAAGACCTGAGATATACGGGGTACTTTATTGGTTGGGGGGGGGGGGGGGGGGGTCAGATGGGGTTGGGGGGCATGGGCGATGGGTAGGAGTAGATATGTATTGCTTCACTGGTCATCTCACTCTGTGGTCTCTTCTGTTGTTTGGCATCTTTGTGGTATGATTTAAACATCATGGATGAATGGGAAATGTTTGGCAGCAACGAGAGGAAGGAGAAGGAGAAGCAGCCAAGAGGCCATATGTTTGGCTTTGTTTTCCGGTGCACTAGATTTTTCTGCGCAATCCTATTACCCATAACATTTATTTTGCCACTTCTGGCTGCTCCTCAACTTCAAATTGCAACTTTTGGAGTAGTGAATTACAAAAATACAGAGACTTTCAAGAAATGATTTTAGGCCTTTGTCACCTACATTGTGTCTATCTTGTCCCATAAAGTGTGATGCATTGACATTGTGTACCCATCTGAACCAGTCAGTCTATAAGGACTTGATGCTTTTCATGCAGTAGTGTGCTACAGGTATAACATCTGTGGTCCATAGATACATTTATTTCAAGAAAGGCATTCTACTGAAGGAAGAGACATTCTGGTAATAGTTCATTTGAAATGTGGAGACATGCTTAAAAATCACACATTTCAGATTAAATCATTTTGTGTTTTGTTGTAAGGTAATGTCTCGGCAACATTTTGCTTGAATTTTGCATCTTGTTATTGTAGCATAGTGTTGACGTGGTTTTACTTTAGTGTTCCTTGAATAATAGTGATTTGAAGTAAATCAACATTCAAGTTCCATATTATTCAAATTGGAAATGTAATGTAAACAATGTGGAGAATTAACCATGTTGTTAAATCAAACAATTGCTGATCACAGCTTCTTTCTCCTTCAATTATTTATTTTCACTTTTCTTGCACTTCTCCTCCCTAATAACCTATGTTTCTGTGTATCTTTCTCTTTCTCTCTCCTCCTCTCTCTCACTCTCTCTCTCCAGGACAAAGAGGTGAATCTAGAGCAGGTCCACCAGCGTTTGAACAGCCACCTGGACGAGGACATGGCGCACAAACAGCTGCCGGGCCAATCTATCGAGATCTCTGCCCTGGACATCGGCAGCATGCAGCCCAGCCAGTCCCTGGAAGGCCTGCCTTCACGGGAGCACTACCCGGGCCATCACAGGGAGTCGGTCTCTGTGACCACATTCCTCCAGGAGGGACATGGGGCAGGAAGGACACTTGGCAGGGGCACTGGCAGATCCCTACCCCTCAGCAGCGCCACCATGCCCTCTATCCGCTGCAAACACAGGGCGCCCAACGGGGGGCTCTGCCAACAGAGCCCTGTCAAGACGCCCATGCCAATGTCATACCAATCAGTGCCCGGAAGACCCATTCCAGAAGCCATTGATGTAAGCCATGGGACTTCCATCTGACCACTCAGCCTCAGCCCAATCACAGACACTCAAGCCCCATTTATACCTGGTTCTAACATGCATCTTTTTTCCTCCACATTCTGATTGTGCCCACATTTTTAGACTGGTGTAGATAATGGAAAGATGTTTTGTGATCTGATTGTGATCAGATGGCTATCTTACAAATGTAAACGGATCTGGACAGTGAAACCACTTAAATCATCATTATACCACCCTCTGAAATCATTGACTTCTGGCATCAATATGCGTCTTAAAATAAATACATATTATTTGGAAATGCTATCTGTTAAATAATTTGCATACAGGGAGGGACCCGGAAATCTGGTCAACAATGCAGACACAGATATGAGACACATTTTAACACCATGTGTAGACCCATGTCTGAAAATGTGGGCCCAATCAGAATGTGGACAAGATCAGGACGCATGTTGGCTGTGGTGAGCTATAGTCTACAGAATGAATGGTCACAGGTGAGAGAAAATCAAAATATGGATGGCTTTTTTTTTTTTTTCGACTGAAGAAATATGGAGGAAAACAAAATTAGGAAAATGACTTTCATGTACATATTTGTAAGTATGGAAAAAAAGAGGTGAGGTACAAAAAATAAGTGTATTTTGAATATTCTCAATTTTTTAAGTTGAGTTTATAAAACAGATACAAACTTATACAAAAAATTACTGTTTGAATGGCTTTGTAAAATGTGTTCTAAATGAATAAAGGTGATAATTCCTTCTGGTTTTTTCTAAGTGCCAAGTTCAACTATGTTTTCTTTCAAATTAACATTATATGAATGTACCCAATTTATGAAAAGAAACTTCACACTTCAAAGACAGTGGAAAGAGAGTTGATTTGTTTCGTAAGAAAACAATAAAAAATAATTATAAAAAAAAGTTAAAACACTGTCTAAATGGAGCCGTGTTAAGCCATGCCTTACATGTTGTTTTTGTACCACGTCGCTTTTGTAATGCCATCATTTATTTTCACGTATGAGTGAGTAACCGTATCCGAATACACATACTACATTTTAGGTATGTGAAAATATAATGTTTTATAGTACGTGAAATGTCGAAAATCGAGTATGCTTTAAATGCCAGGATGTTATACCAGTGAGGAAGAGGCGAAGCGAGAGGTTTTACTGTGCCCAAAATTTGTCCCCGAAAATAAGCCCACGAAGTAAAGCATTTTTGTATATGAAGGTCAATGAGTGTTAAATTTGATCAACAAAAAATGTAATTGCTAAATTGCTATGTGAGGTATATTGGATCAAATGGAAGTTTTGTAATAGTTAGGTTGTTACGAATGCACTGATATAAGTGGACACACTTGGCATTTGGGCAACTTTGAAAAAATTTACTACATCGGAGTTGTGCCTGTTGTCATAGAGATAGATAGAGGACTCATCATGGATCTGACCTGTTTTAGCGTGGACATTGCCATTGAGGGCTTCCTCCATTTGGGAGCAATCAGCCAATGAAAAAGAAGAAAATTTACGTCTTTAAAATGGAGATAGCCTCAATGGTGCTTTCCTTTCTGTCACAGATGCTATAATGCTATAAACAAAGATGGGTCCTCTATCTATATCTATGGCCTATTGTTCACACTCGTATCTGCCCTCTCATTGGCTAAGATGGTCCCATCTGATCTCACCTCCTCTTGCCTGCCTGACATCTTTGAGGACATGTATTTCCATTGTTAGAGCAGTCACTCAAATATCTAGTCAATATAATAGACAATCTTTGGTTATACTCATTTCAGCTTTTCATCTAGTAAAATTTGATGCACATTTTGACTAAGTAAATTGTCTTTCCAGACTCACGTGTGTTTGACAACAGCTGATAATCAGCTGGTAATGAGATAAGGGGACACGCTGATGTGTGCTCTGTGAACAACAATAGTGGAACAGGGCAGTTCGCCTTCTATAAGTATGCATTGGGGGAATATATTAATAGCAATGTACAGCCTTACCCATGAATCTTGGGTCCGTTAAATGGGGTATCGGCCTACTCATAGAGACCCACAGATTACAATTCAAAAGAGTTTACACAAATATTAGCCTCATAGCTCTTATTGCAGGACTTTAACTGTGGGAAATCACCTCAAAATTCAGTCTATTGTGCGCATTGGACATTCCTATAGATGGGTTCGTTGTTTAACAACAAAACCGACACGTGCGCAACTATGGGGTTGACAACAAAACAGATTGTTGACAACATGTAAACAATATTTAGTCTCCAATGTATATTGAAAACATAAATTAATTTACACAATGAGCACTTGTTGTCTCTCAAATACATCGTTACAGTTGTTGGTTAGCTGGCTAGCAAATTCTAGCCATATTAACGTTGACATAAAATCAGTCAAAACACATCAAAACAAGAAATCGTATCAAGAACTACACTGATGAAACTACACTGAACAAAAGATGAAAGATGAAACTACACTGAACAAAAATATAAATGCAACATGCAACAATTTCAATGATTTTACTGAGTTACAGTTCATATAAGGAAATCAGTCAATTGAAATAAATTCATTAGGCCCTAATCTATGGATTTCACATGACTGGGAATACAGATATGCATCTGATTGTCACAGATACCTTAACCCTTGTGTGGTGTTCATGTTTTTGTTATTCACCCAATGTTCGCAGGTCTGATGGACCCACAACATTATTGGGTTTTTAAAACAATACAGACATAACAATTTACGTAAAAATACTTAATACTTAGATGTTGACTTATATCAATTACAAGCAATATAGACAGCATACATGGTTAATATTTGCCATTTACCTCTGCTAGATCACATTTATCAATAAAAGCACTATTCGTTTTTCTGTATTCAATTTGATTTTTGTAGACAAAAATCAATTATAATCAAGACATGGGTGGAATAAATCATGTTTATCTTGAACAAATATAAATGAAACAAGGTTTTCATCACTATTGATGTTTATTGCTTTGAACTGAACAAATTGGAAGGACAAATTATACATACAGTATTCTATGTAAATGATAAATGAGCCCCATTGAACAAAAATTAAGGCCGGTCTACACACCACATGAGGGACAGAGTTTTAATGTGTGTGTGTTGCAAATGTATTTCTTGCACTTCATGCATGTGTACTGTGTCTTCCTGTCCTTCTTGGGTCCACACACGTTGCAGCGCTTCTTCTTGTTGCTACCGGCTGCAATCTAGAATGATGAAAACACTTAGTTCAGGAATTTTGCGAACATCTCACTCACTTACTCACTCACATATATTTGTTACAGCAGGCCAAGGTAGGAGAGTCAGAGAAACACACATGCAACAACATCACTCACACTTACTTCCGGTATTAGAGTTGTTGGTTCTGTGGGTCGGGCGGATGGGGCACCAGCATTCTCCTCCTGAATCCTCCTCACGATGGCTGCAGAAGCTGGGGTCCTTGGGATATGTTGCCTCCTCTGGATTTGAGCTCTTACCAATGCCTTGCCCAGCTCCTTGAGAAAGAGCCGTCTCCTCTGGAGCTTATACCTGTTCCAATCTGGGTTCAACACTATCCAGATGACAAATGCGTTGTACGCTGAGATGTCCAAGATGTTGAAGAATATCACAAGTGGCCAGCGTAGGGTTCTTCTTTTGCAGCTGTAGCCAGTCACCAGCTTGTCTAAATTGTCCACCCCTCCTTTTGTGGCATTGTAATCCATTATGATTTCTGGTTTTGATGTTCCCGGCCACAGATTCTCCCATCCCTATGCAGCGTACTAATGAGTACCACATTTTTGCCTTTCTTTGGCACGTAGGACACTAGGGACGTGTCGGCCGTGAACACAAACTTAGAGGAATTGATAGGCCTGTTCTGTGTATTCAACAGCTGAGGTGGGAGCTCTGGCTTGTTTTTTCGTACTGTTCCTACCATCGTCAGCTTCCTATTGAGGAGCTCCTGTCCCAGCTTGTGCGAAGTTAAAAAGTTATCGCATGTGATGTTGTGGCCACAGAGTCCCTGTGTCACGTCCAGGACAACCCGCATCCCTTGGTTCTTCTCAGGGGCTCCTCCATCTTGCTTCCCCATATACACTTGCAAGTTCCCCGCATATGATGAAGCAGCATCACAGGCAGCCCAGATCTTGATTCATCTTTTGCGGGTTTAGACGGTATGTACTGCCTGAAGGGGCAGCGGCCTCTAAATGGCATTAACTGCTCATCAACAGTAAAGTTGGGCCCAGGGTTGTAAAACAGGGGAAGGTGGTCCAGAGACATGATCCTCATATTCTGAAAATTCTTTATCTTCCAAAGTGGAAGACGCTCCTTCCACACTAGCTACTCTCTCTGCCAAAAAACATTCTAAGGCCCTCTGAGCAGAGATTATTTTTGCCATACTGATTGATTGTGGTAAAGAGCCACACATGCAAATCTATTTATTTTTTTAGTCCTTCCCCCAATTTGCACCTGGCTGGGGTAGAGTGTGGGAAAATACTGAATTCTTTACAATGTATCGAAATAATGTATTGAAATAATGTATTGTAATAACATTGTGCATGTTCCCGCAAGACATTGTGTAGTTTCACACACTAAAAAGGGTAAAGAGTGCGAGAAAAGCGGGTGACAGGCAGACAGGCAGGGAGACAGACAGGTTATTGGTGCAATGTTGAAACAGCAGGCCTAGGGAGGAGGAAGACAGAGTGAAGGCACACAGCAAACCTTTTTGTTTCATTTTTACTTGTTTTCAACTACACACACACTTTTCCACACTTTTATTACCCTTGGGTCCAGTGGACCCGAACACCACATATGTAATATAAATGTGTAGGGGGGTGCACAGTGTGCACTCACTGAAAATGTGTTATTTTACATGTTCTTCACAGAAAATGAGCCAAGGCCAATGAGTCTCAGGTTGAAAAAATAATTATTTGTATCATTTTTCTTTTAGTAAACATTGAAAATGGGTCCCACAGACCAGAACACCACACAAGGGTTAAAAAAAAGGTAGGGGCGTGGATCAGAAAACCAGTCAG